TCCTATTTCTCTATGTTGAAATAAGCATGTTTATCCTATACCTGTCCCACCATTGTATTTTGGAAGCATGTCACTTGTTTGATTTTGCATGTTCATGGCTGGAGACAAATTTGCCTCAGAAGAAATCTTACCTTGAGTCTCATCCATATCTATTTTAGGTGATACTTAGATAAGACTTTGGATTTCAGACTTTTGAGTTGATGCTGGAACTACATTAAGACTTAACTGAAGTTAAGAGTTTTGAGATGGAATAAATTTATTTTAAATGTCAGAAAGGCATGAATTTGGGGGCGGGCAGGGGCAGAATGGCATGGTACAAATGTTTGTGTCCCTCCAAAATTCATATTGAAACCTAATCACCATTGTGTTGGTATTAAGAGGTGCAACCCAGCCCGGCGCGATGGCTGGCTCACACCTATAATCCCAACACTTTGGGAGGGTGAGGCGGGTGGATCACCTGAAGTCAGGAGTTTGAGACCAGCCTGGCCAACATGGCAAAACCTCGTCTCTACTAAAAGTACAAAAATTAGCCGGGTGTGGTGGCAGGTGCCTGTAATTCTGGCTACTCAGGAGGCTGAGGCAGGAGAATAACTTGAACCTAGGAGGTGGCGGAGGTTGCAGTAGGCCAAAATCTCGCCACTGCACTCCAGTCTGGGTGACAAGAGCGAGACTGCATGTCAAAAAAAACCAAACAAACAAAAAAAAGAGGTGCATCCCTTTTGGAGGCACCCCTCAAGAATGTGATTCATGCCTTTATGAAAGAGACCGAAGGGAATGTCTTCGCCTCTTTAGGTCTTTCCAGAGACACATGGAAGGTGCCATCCATGAGGAACAGGCCTTCACCAGACATCAAATCTGTTGGCATCTGGATCTTTGACTTCCCCACCTCCAGAACTGTGAGCAATAAATTTCTGTTCTTTACAAATTAATTAATCTAAGGTCTTCTGTTATAGGTGACTCTCTAATGTGGCAGATTGTTGGGAACAAGTTTCTATACTCTTTATTTTTCTTACACTACATGGCTAAACTCTCCACTTTAATGTTTTATTGCAATGGTAACAATGTATATAGGCTTATCATGCTTTTGCGTTTAGACAGAACACTACTAATGCTTCACCACTAAGTATGGTATTTGCTTTAGGTTTCTGGTAAGTAACTTTTTTCAAAATACTGAAATTGCCTTCTATTCTTAGGTATCCAAGATTTTTAAAATGTTATAACTGAATATAGATTATCATTTGGTTATTATTCCGTATTCTCTTGCTATGGTGAGTGATATCTTTTCCTAAGATTTTATTATTCTCGCATTTTTGGGATAAATTGTACAATATTTTACTTATTTTTTGTTCACAATTATGATGGCTTCTAATTTCCTTTCTTGTGCTGTTTCTGTTTTATAGTATCAGTTTTGTGTTTGCCCATAAAAGAATTTAGTCAGTAATAGTTTTTTAGTGCTTGAGATAGAAAGGCATTTCAGAGACCTGGACATGTTTGTTTGACGAAGCAGAGCCTTCAGAAAGTCTAGCTGTTTGGAGATTTATGAATTAATTCATGTGTATTACAGGAGGGTCATTTTCTGTTTTCAGAGATCAAGACATGAAATCCATGTTCAAGATACTTTCTAGTGTGTCTTCATGTATCCTCTGAGTCCAGCCACCTGGCTACCGGCAGCTCTTGGAAACCCTGACATACTTATTCTTAGAAGACTGCTTTCTGGACTCAAAGTGGAACCTCAAATTTTCAATTTTGTTTTTAAAGCCTACACATAGGTGATGATCTATACATGCATATATATTTTGGAGAATTTATAATTCTGAAAACCATGCTGGTCTTACGGAACCCACACATTACCCTTTCCCCGTGTGTGCTCCAAGCTGTGGTGGCACGTGAAAAGGGGTCCTTCCAGCAGTGACCCACAGCCCTGTGCTGCTTACTTGCTCACTTCATTTACAAGAGCAAGAAATACACATTCTTGTGTTAAGTCATTATGATTTGGGGATTTCCATTACTCACACACCTGATCTGGTAGTAACACAGTAGCCTATTTTAACAATATCATTTATTCAATAATCCATTCTTTCCCCATTAGTTTTGAGCCTTCATTTATTGTGTACTAAGTTCTGGTTATTTTTAGTGGTTGTAATCTCCTTCTTTCCTACTCTCTTAATCATGGGATTGCTAACATCTGCTCTGTGTTTCTGTGCCGTCTACAGCCTCTGGCCTTGGTACTGTTCTTCAAAACTGGTATTTCTAACCTTACTTTGACTTCTCCACTCAGTCAATCTCCCACAGTTCATCACTCAACTGCTCTCTTTCCATCTTGACCTTCTGAACCGGCTCACACCCAGATATACGTTTGTCATCTGCCTTTCCCCCTCATAAACATGGACTGCTGCTGGGGAAAATCCACCACTGAACTCTTGCAGGTCTTCGCAAATGTTTAATGCCCTGTCTTAGTCATGACCTCCACAATGCTAGGCTATCCTATGTTATGTCCCCTAAGATATCCCTTCTCTCTTGCCTTTAGGGCTAGTCTGAAGCTTCCATCATGGCACTCAAAGTCCAACCTTATTTGTACCCTCATTCTCTGAGCAGACACAACTGTATTCTGTTTCACAGAGAAAATGTGAGTGCTGGGGATGTATTCTTTCAACTTCCTGGTCCATTCTCATACATGATCTTTCTCTGTATTCTTGCCTATTGCTCTTCCACGTTGATAGAAGTGTCTACTCTCCTTGTCAGTGTCTCAGCCTTGGATCTGTCCCCTGTTCTATTCTGCCTGTGTAAGGACCTTCCCTGACCAGCTGGACCACCATCTCCTGCTTCTCCAATCCCTCACTCTAGACTGACTCTTAACCTTTTGTGAACAAATAGTCAAGCTTTTACATTCATAATGGAGCATCTATGTTGAACCTTATTCTTTTCTAGACACTACCCTCCATTCTGTCTTCCATCCATGGTGACTTTTCTAGAAAGAGCATCTATCACACCGGAGACAGCAAACTCCTTGATCCATTCTAATTCCTAACCCTGCAGTAATTTTCTACGTCCCTTACTCAAGTAATTGGGAGTGCTCCTAGTATTACCAGAGACCCAGCAGTTCCCAATTTCAGACCTTTCCATATTCACATTTCTTGACTTGCTATTATTTTACATCACAGATTACATCCTTCATTTGAAGAGACTTTAATGGAAGGTTGCCATGGAAACTCTCTCATATGGCTGACCTCCTACCTCACTTGCTCTTTCTGAATTAAGTTCCCACTTTTGCCTGCCTTAACAAAAGTAATGCTCCCCAAACTCAAGTCCAGGGCTGTGAATTGGAAGCAGCTGGGGCTACTGTTTCTGGGTGCTGGTATGAATGGCAGGATGTGAACACAAGCCTGTGATGGGTAAAAAGATGTACACACAGGCAGAGCCTGACAGGTGCTGGTGGTCCTATATGGTCCTGAGTTGCTGGGACCCTCCTTGCCCACTGCCCCCAGAATGGACTATGGCTTCAGGTTTGAAGTGTTCAGATGTGACTGAGATGAGCCTGTTTCCCATGCCTCAGGAAGAGCGAAGAAACTCTATCTGGAAGGTTCCCCAGGGTTCCCCACCCAGCAGCCTCTGGTATTAGACCAAGCAGTGGTTGGCCAGGATGGTGGTGACAGAAGGGAGACAAAAGTGGGCAGTGGGTAGGGTCACATCCTCCCTGACACTGAATAGGCAACCTGGGGAGGAAGGATGAGTGATCTTTAGAACGTTCATGGAAAATGCATACTGGGAAAAAGAATGCATGGATTTCAATTTTTTTTTGCAACAAAATAAACTTATACTAACTTGTGAAAACATGTCTGAACAGGATCTAGTTTGAGGCCCTAAGAAGTATAAGACAATAGTTTGAAAAGAGCTCGTATCAGACACATGAATTCTGCTAAAATTGAAACCAGAACAAATATGCAATTGATGGTGAAGCTTGGCTGGAAAAATGGTGAAATCATTGATGATTTTTTGAAAGTTTATAGGGACGATGCCTCAAAGAAATCAGCAGTTTAAGTAAGTGGATTACTCATTGGAAGAAGGGAAGAGATGATGTTGGAGACGAAGTCCATAGCAGCAGACCAGCCACATCAGTCTGTGAGGAAACAATTCATCTTGTTTGTGCCCTAATTTAAGAGTACTGATTAATAACAGCAGAAACAATAGCCAATGCTGTAGGCATCCCAAGGTGTTCAGCTTACACAATTCTGACTGAAATTAAAGTTAAGTAAACTCTCCACTCAGTGGGTGCCAAAACTGTTTCTCCCAGCTCAGCTGCAGATAAGAGAAAAGCATTCTCCGGCAATTTTAAACAAGTGGAATCAAGATCCTGAAGCATTTCTTCAAATAATTATAGCCAGAGATGAAACATGGCTTAACCAGTACACTCCTGAAGGCAAAGCACAAGCGAAGGAATGACTACCGAGAGGTGGGAGTGGTCCCATCAGAGCAAAAGCAGACATGTCAAGGGCAAAGGTCATGGCAACCGTTTTGTGGATGCTCAAGGCATCTTGCTTATTGACCTTCTGGAGAGCCAAAGAACAGTAACATCTTATTATGAGAGTGTATAGAGAAAGTCAATGATTTAGCAGGAAAACACCCAGGAAATCATCACTCTGGAGAGCTTCACCAGAGAGCCCTTCTCCATCATGACAATGCTCCTGCTCATTCCTCTCATCAAACAAGGCCAGTTTTGTGAGAGTTTCAATGGGAAATCACTAGGCATACACTTTCCAGGCCTGATTTGGTTACTTCTGTTTTAAAACTTTAAAAAATCTTTAAAGTCCACCCACTTTTCTTCAGTTAATAACGTAACAAAGACTGAAGTGGCATGGTTAAATTCCCAGGGTGCCCAGTTCTTTAGGGATGAACTGAATGGCTGCTACCATCACTTACAAAAGCATCTCAACCTTGATAGAGCGCATGCTGAGAAATAAAACCTATTTTTTAATTGTTATCTTTTAGTTCAATTTTTCTGCGAACTTTTGAAGTCCCCTTGTATTTGTTTCGGGTGGAACTCTGAGTCTGATTTCTCAGCTCTCCGTGGATGGCTGCATCTTGATAGAGAAATGAAGGCCATTTACCCTGATGCTCTCTACTGGGCCCAAGTTTCAGATGTTGAACACACACGTGTGGGAATTTATGAATCCGTGCATCTGTGCCAGCTGGTGGGTGAAGTCTAAGTTTCTTCAACAGAATTAGTTATCTTCTGCCTCCTGGAATCTGGTAGGAAAGGCTGAGGAAAAGCAGCCATCCATAGTGCCTCCACCACTGGAATGGGGGCAGCCCTAACGTGTGCCCCACTGTCCCCCATGCTGAGGAGTCCTTCACTCCAGGGATGTCTTCACCCCAATCATTCAGACTCCCCCAGTGTTTCTGCGTCACCTGAAAGGTCAGAAGCATCTGGGCACATACTCTCCATGAGTGGTGCTTTGGCCTCCCTCCCCATCAATACTGAAGCCCTCAGAGGCAGAGGGGAGTCAAGGAAAAGAGTGGCCGTCAGCAATAAATGAGTTACAAGGTTTGATTTCAAACAGAAAACCCTGTCACCAAAATCACTACTCAGGAGATCTGGACGTCCTCTCAATGTGAGCTGAAGAACCCTTGAGGGTTAAGAGCCAACTTCACCTGATCCCCACTCTCCCATCCCAAGACCCTGGGAAGTCAAACCAAGAGGTAATCAACAGAAAACAAGTTTAATGCAACAGGTGACAATAGTCTGGAGCAAGTCCATGCTTCAGAAGGCTCAGTCCATGACAGTCCCGTGGCTCAAGGCAGGCTAAGGCCGGCCGCAATGGAGACCAGCAGCAGGAGGACGGCCAGCCCCAGCCGAGCACAGCTGTCACCCACACTCCCAGCATATTCTTTGAACGATGATGTGTTGATAGCCGGCCCCTGTAAATTGCAGTAGCGAGTTTTACAACACTTGAGGTAAAAGAAGGGCAGGGGCTCTTCCAGGAGAAACGGCTTCTCCTCTGGCTTGGGTATCTCAATCGCTGCACAACTAGCGGAGCACTGCTTCGAAATTATGAAAAAACGTGGAAATATTTCTAATAGGAAATAAAGACCAAGAGAAGGCAATCACGCAATTCCAACGCCTGACACCGAGGCCCTTCTGTCTGGGTCAAAGCCTTACCCCTGGTGGCCCTGTTCAAAGGTGCGCACTCAATTGGGGCACCAAGTGGGGGTCGGGAGGAGGAGGGCCAGGCCTGTGTGTTGAATGCTGCTTTGGGGAAGGGCTGGCTTCTGCGTGGTATGGCCTGTCCACATGCACTGGGAATGCGGGTCTAGGGGTCGCTATTTGGGAATACACAGGTCTCAACTTCTCAAACACAAGGTTGGCTCAGGCCTTTGTGACCACAGACAGACATATGACTCCCAGTCATTCTGGCCATCACCCAGGGCATGGAGCCGGCCTCTCGGTGGGCCTGGCTCGGCTCTGAGCTGGGGGTCTTGTCTCATGACCACACTTCATCTTATACTTCACTGTACAAATCATTTTGCCATGTTAAGTTAAAAAGTCAACGTTGGCTACACTGAGTCTGAAGCATCACCTCGGCGCCCCACCAACTTCGTGGATACCAAAGGGCTGGAGAGCAACTGCTGGCTGGAATCAGAATTCACCAGCCCTGAAGATCGCCCTGTGGGCAGAATGTGCTGGGTGTCCAGATTCCCCTCAGGGAGGGCTTCATGTACCCAAAGGTTTTCAGGGGAATCACAGATGACAGAGCAGCGGTCTCCAGTTTTTGAGGCATGCACCCTTCTTCGAGAACACACTTGAAGGCTGTACACCTTGGTTTTGTGCATCTCTTGTAAGAGTGACACAGACACTGTTCTCAGTGGCGCATTTAACATTATTAAAGCTTAATTTTTCATTTAAAAATGGATGACATGAAACCCAGATTTTCTTCCTACCTCCCAATATTTTATCTGGACCCACTGTAGCAGGCACTGCCTTACACTGGCACAGTTCTTATGGACTGAACCTCACCCCACTCCCCCTTCACCTCTCCCTGGCCTCTCAGGACTTTGCTCTTCACATTTTAAAGGACAAAAACAGGCAGGGTGCGGTGGCTCACACCTGTAATCCCAGCACTTTAGGGGGCCGAGGGTGGGTGGATCACCTGAGGTCAAGAGTTTGAGACCAGCCTGACCAACACGATGAAACCCAGCCTCTACTGAAAATAAAAAATTAGCCGGTGTGGTGGCGCGCGTCCATAATCCCAGCTACTCAGGAGGCTGAGGCAGGAGAATCGCTTGAACCTGGGAGGCGAGGTTGCAGTGGGCTGAGATCACGCCACTGTACTCCAGCCTGACTCCATCTCAAAAAAAAAAAAAAAAAGCTACTTTCTATTAGTTATTCCCTATTGAGAAAAACTAGACAGCCCTGATTCCCGAAACTCCTCTGTTCACCTGCCTGTTGGTCTCCAATCAGAGGGAAGATACTCACTCACGGCCGCTATAACGCAGTATGGCTCTGTCCACTGGCACCTCCTCGGGTTCTCGCACTCAAAAGTGTTTTCTCTCTCACAAACGTGACACCACACTCTATCGTCACCCTCGTCTGAAAGGAGGAATAAAAAAGAAAGTAGAATGTTCCAGTTATCCGTGCCTAGCTGAGGCACACAGCCAGCATCCGAGCCAGCACAAACTCGGCGGGTCCCCATCTTTCTCCCCGCTGAGCAGTGGCTACGGCCACATGACTCTGAGTGAGCCGCATGGGGAGAAAGCAGGAAGGGTCTCAGGCCACGTAAGAGCTGCCCGCTTCCCCTTCGCCTTCCCCCATGATTTTAAGTGTCCCGAGGCCTCCCCAGAAGCCAGCACCATGCTTCCTGGACAGCCTGCGGTGCTGTGAGCCAATGACACCTCTCTTCTTTATAAACTGCCCAGTCCCCGGACGTCTTTACAGCCTGAGCGATTTGTCTTCTTTCCTGGGGGCTCCCCCATCCTCCCACATCCAAGCGCACAACATGAGCGCACAGCGCACCCCCACTCGGCCGCGGCACCCTGACCCCAGGCACGGCCACGCTGCACCCGCGGGCCCTGGCATCTTCCCGCCGACGGCTGCGGAAGCGACCCCGGGGCTCGGGTCTGCTCCCACGTGCCCTCCCGCCCACCTTCCAGGTCCACCCGCCGCCCAGGTCCTGCACCTGGCTCCCTCAAAGGAGGCCTCCTTGGTCTGGGTTGGGCCTGGCCTAGCTCTGCAGGAGGCGCCCGCCCTCCTCCCGCGGTTTGAACTGTGCTCAGCCCGCGAAGCCCGCGAAGCCCGCCGAGGCCAGGCCGCCGGGGCCTCCAGCCTGAGGGCTCCCGGGGACGCGGCGGAGCAGGGCAACGGCTGGGGAAGGGCCGGGCTCAGGCTGCCCCGCCGCCCGCGGGGAGGTCGCACGAGGCGAGGCTCCCCGGAGGCTTCCAGGCGCCGCGGGCCCCCTGAACGCCCTGTTCTCGCGGCCTAGTGGCGGCGGCGGCCACGCGGTGCTGGGCAGACGCCGCCGGCCCCGTCCTCTCGGCCCGTGGCTGTCGGGGCGAGCCCGGCTCACCCGTCTGCGGGGTGTCCTCCGGATCTTGTTGTCTCGCAGTCAGGTTGAGGTCTGTCCACACCCGCGGTAGGGCCACGACCAGGAGCAAGGCGAGCAGCGCCATCGTCCCCAGCGGCGCCCTGTGAGAGTCAGCGCGCGACGCCCCCTCCTGGCCCTTCCGGAACCTTCGCAGCCTCCGCGCGCCGCTCCCCGGGTCTGGCCGGTAGGGGGAGCCCCGCCGACCCCAGGGCGCCCGCCTCCCACCCGCCGGGGCTGTCGGGGTTCTTGGAGCCCCCCTCAGCGCCCCGCGGCCACTGGCGGTGCTGAATGCCTGTTCTGAGTCCCGCCTTGTGCTGGTGTCGGAGCGGCCGGCAGCCAGGCAGGAGCGGGCGCGGGAGCCCCGGGAAACGCAGCACCTGAGCCCCAGGGCCGTCTCCTTGGGGACCCCACACTCCACAGAAAGTGGCCAGTGGCCGGGTTGGGGATTTTCTCCGCTGAAGAGCGTGGGCGCACCCCTAATAACTCGCCCCTGAATAGCTTTTAGCTCATTACAATACCAAAAAGACACACCCCTGGGCAGAGATTTTGGATTCTAAGGAAACACGCCGGTGCATTCGTGTGTGAGGTCACGGCGCATGCGTGCCCAGAGGACTTCGCAAAACTTGCTTACTAGTACGGCCCCTACCCGGGCCCTTCAAGAATAATCCTGTAAAACTCTCATCAGGAGGGTCTCCCCAGCGTGAGTAGGGACGGACTCATTCTTTTGAGCAGCCCACCCTGTTCCTCTTTCAGGCTGTACTGTTTTCCTTCACCAAAAGCTCCAATAAGAATTCCTTCTGGCGCCTGGAGTCCCAGCTACTCGGGAGGCTGAGGCAGGAGAATGGCGTGAACCCGGAAGACACAGCTTGCAGTGAGCTGAGATTGCACCACTGCACTTCAGCCTGGGCGACAGAGGGAGACTCCGTCTCAAAAAAAGAAAAAAGAAAAAAAAAAAAGAAAGAAAAGAATTCCTCGTAAGTCACTAGCTTTTGACTCTATCTCCTGAGTGGCAGATTCTGTCTTGTCTCTCTGAGCTCCTGACTCTTTAAATAAAGGTTACTTAACCCTTTACCTCTTGCTGTGCATCTCTTGTCTGAATTCTTTCCTCCAAGAAGACCAAGAACTGGAGGATTTCCATGTCTCTCACACTAACAGTGCTACCCAAACATCAGGGTTGTCATCTAGAAAGCCAATCACCAAGAGCAGTGCCAGAGAAGAAGGCCTCATTCAAGTGCTACAGCCCAGAGACGGGTGCTCAGTCACAAATCCCTCTCCTCAACCCACTAAAATTAGGAGTTTCTAGAGCAGGGAAGAAATGTCACCCCGTGTGAGAAAACAGAAATTAGGGAGAGTGAGGAGGCAGCTGGGCTTCATGACTGGTGAGGGGTCTGGCCTCAAGAACCTGCTGAGTTTCAGTGCCTTGATGCTGTCTGGAAGGCCCAACGGTTGGTTTCGTGAGAAAGGAACTCAGATAAGACAAATGTAACTTTCCCAAGTTTTAAGCTAGGGTGGGTCAATTTCTATGTTTATTCAAAAGAAACCCTAAATACTAGTTTTATGGGAAATTGGGCAGATCTGAGTAGACCCCAAAGGGCAATCCACAGGTGTTGTTCTCCACCATGCTTTTTCCGCTCAATCCTCTGTGTAGAGGCCCTCTGTTACCACAGGAAGGAACAGGACTTTCACACTCTTTTCCTTTCTTTTCTTTTCTTTCTTCTTCCTTTTTTTTTTTTTTTACAGTTGTGATATGTTTTGGATCTGTGTCCCCACTGAAATCTCATGTTGAATTGTAATCCCCAGTGTTGGGGGTGAGGCCTGGTGGGAGGTGATTGGATCATGGGGGTGGTCCTTCATGAATGGTTTAGCACCATCCCTTTGGTGCTGTTCTTGTGATAGAGTTCTCACGAGATCTGTGTTTTTAAAAGTGTGTGGGCAACTCCCTCTCTTCCTCCCGCTCAGGCCACGTAAGAGGTGCCCGCTTCCCCTTTGCCTTCCATCATGATTGTAAGTTTCCTGAGGCTTCCTTAGAAGCCAGGACCATGCTTCCTGCACAGCCTGTGGAACTGTGAGACAGTTAAACCTCTTTTCTTTGTAAATTGCCCAGCCTCAGGTATTTCTTTATAGCAATGGGAGAAAGGACTAATAGAAGTTGCATCATATTCCATGGCCTTGATGTACCATAGCTAATTTAAATAGCCTCCTTGAATGAACATTTGTGTTGTTCACAGTGTTTTTACATCTCACATGTCAAAGTCAAACACATTATAGGATGAATCTCTAAACATGTTATTCGGGAATCACGGAATTGTAATTCTGGGCATACACAGATCAGAAATGTGTTTGGTGTGTCTGACGAACAAAGAGAAGGTTGAAAGTTTTATTTAAGAAATGTTACCTATTGTTTAGAAAGAAAACTTGTGGGCACTGGTAGAGGTTTGGGGAGCTGGCAGGCTCTGATGGGTGAGTGACACAGTAGGTAGACCTTGTCTTTGAGTCACGGCAGGTCGTTCCAGCAGCTGTGAGGTACACCTGATTGTAAAGTTGCAGCAGGCATTTCAGCACATGGGCTTGCAGATGGTTCTTGGAGCAGGTGCTGTCTGCCTGAGTGGTTTTCCTCTGGCCCTCAGCCTTGACTTAGTTGGGTATGACCAGAATAACTCAATATATGAAGTCAACTTTCATATACACAACACTGCAATTGTCCCTAATGTCATTCCTTACATATATCATTATACCACAACTTCCCAGAAATGAGACCAAAGGACAAAAGTTAAATATATTTGCAGTTTATATGAGTATTGCCTAGTTGCTGTATCTGGTCTTTGAAGAATTTTGTCATTGAGGAGTGAGTGCTTGTTTTCATGGCAGCGTCAGAAAGAATATCCTCTTATTCACTCTTTGGATTTTCACCAGTCTGACAGATGAAAATGAAAATAGTATCCAGGTGTATTTTTAATTTGCATTTTTAAATTATGAGTGAGGTTGAGCACTTGATATGGTTTGACATGTTTGATATGGCTAGTGGATATTTGTATTTTCCTGTGATCTCTCTATTTATGTCTCTCATTCATTTTCCTGTTTAACAGACATTGCTTAACAGAAGGCAATATTTGAGTTGCTGACCAATCCCAAAATAGTTGTGAGGTACGATATCAGCAGGACTTGTTTTCTGAGCCTTGATTGTGACCCTGTGATCAAAACAGGACGTAACAAAGAAACTGGCCCAAACCAGCTCGGACCAAGATGGTGACAAAAGTGATTTCTAGTTGCCCTCATTGCTCATTATATGCTAATTATAATACATTGTCATAAGACACAAGGGTACCATGACAATTTACAAATGCCATGGCAATGACCCAGAAGTTATGTGGTTCATGTATGATGCCATAAAGGCTCATTACACTGGATCTTGGGAGTAATTTTTCAAGGAATATCAACAAAGTCTTTCCTGTGTGGTTAATTCATGAATGCTACTTTGGAATGTTCTGGATGGTCTAGACTTTCCTCTGTAATCAACACTGAGCCCTGCAGAACTTTAGGAGGGCCACCAGACCTTGCTACTCTTAAAGAAAAGACTGAAGTGGAGGAATTGATTCCCACTGATTTTTTTTTTTTTTTTTTTGAGACAGAGTCTTGTTCTTTCACCAAAGCTGGAGTGCAGTGGCATGATCTCCACTCATTGCAACCTCTGCCTCCCAGGTCCAAGTGGTTTTCCTGCCTCAGCTTCCCAAGTAGTTGGGATTACAGGTACAAACCACCACGCCTGGCTAATTTTAGTATTTTTAGTAGAGATAGGGTTTCACCATGTTGGCCAGGCTGGTCTTGAACTCCTGACCTCAAATGATCCATCTGCCTCAGCCTCCCAAAGTGTAGAGATTACAGACATGAGCCACTCCACCTGACCTTGATTTTCTTTTTAACCGTCCTGTCTGAGAGATTATTTGTGGAGGCTGACAACAAATGTGCAGGGTTTAACAGTGCAGTCTGCCACATTTCTTCAGCTATATCTGATATTGTAAAGACCGTCCAGGTAATGCAACAAGCTGGAGGTAAGGGTTGCAGGTGGGATGCCCTAATATACTCCATTGGTCTAAAGGCACATTTCCTTCTTTTCCATCCGCTATTGCAGTCCAGCCAGGCATAACTTTAGGAGAATGTGGTTTGGTAAACATGTACCGTTTGGCACAGGGATATTTGAATTTGCTGGCATGAGGAGTGGCGAGACTTGGACTAGCTAACCATGAGAGTGAGTTAGTAGAGATGTGGATGCCGTCATGCTGATGGCCTGCTCAGAGAAGCTGTTTTCACCCAAACACCCAATAGAACCTGGTCAAATGCAAGGCCCAGTCCGGTCTGGGGACTTCTCTGGAATGCCTGTGCCAGTATAACCACGAATGTCCCTCAAACAGAGAGAAGCAAGTTATTATCTCTTACTGATCCCTTTGCTAAACAAGAAGCAGAGCTATGTGGACCTATGAGAGATTTGGAGACACAACATTCCCCATTGAGGAATACACTGCCCTTGCTATTCTGAATTCAAATGGGTCCATGAGCCAATAGAAGCATTAACGTATTTGCAAGAGGTAGTGCATGCAGCTTCACGCAGGCCTCCTGAGCCAGTCGTCGAGCTGTGGTTAGGAATATCTGCTATCAGGACACTTGCCGCCTGGGAACCCTTGGCAGAAGCCAGCATTGCCACCCAGCAGGGACCTCTGGTGTGTTGCAGCTGCTCCTCAAATGCCTCTGGCAGACAATAGCAGCTTATGACCTCCTTGCCAGGAAAGAGCATCAGATAGCCTTCAAACCAGAAATGCCTTTCATGTCTTGATGTCAGAGAACCATTCTACCAAGAGGAGAAGCAGCCCAGCAAAGTCTCTCACCCAGAAAGGGTGAGAGTATATTCCAGAGCAGGGGGCAGGAGGACTTCCACAGCAGAGGCCATGGGAGGAGCCTTCAAGGGCTGCTGTGTGTTCAGAGCCCAGCCAGAGCCAAGCAGGCCTCTGAGCTCCCTGCTAGAAGTTCATGTCTGCAGGGCATGTGGCTGCTTGGAAATTAGCCACATAGACCTCACAGTCTGTCTTTGCTGGAGAAAGGCAGGGCAAACCATATCATACACCTTTATAACATTGTTTCAAATCCAGAAGTGTGATGCCTCCACCTTTGTTTTCTTTTACAAAATTGCCTTGGCTGTTTTGGTTTTTTTGTGGTTCCATGCCGATTTTGGATTTTTTTCTTTTCTCTCTTTTTTTGTGGGGAGGGATGGAGTCTTGCTTTGTTGTCCAGGCTGGAGTACAGTGGCACAATCTTGGCTTACTGCAACCTCCGCTTCCCTGGTTCAAGGGATTCTACCACCTCAACCTCCCAAATAGTTTGAGACTACAGGCATGTGCCACCATGCCCGGCTAACTTTTGTATTTTTAGTAGAGACGGGATTTCGCCATGTTGGCCAGGCTGGTCTCGAACTCCTGACCTCAGGTGAC